CTATCTTTAGTAGAGACTGGGTGGTCTCACTCTTACTCAGGCTGGTTTCAAGCTCCTGACCTTAAACGATCCTCCCGCCTCGGCCTCCCAGAGTGCTAGGATTATAGGTGTTGAGTCATCGCGCCCGGCCTCCCCAAATGTTCTAAATGACCATATTACTTCTATAAAAAAAATCTCATCTTGAAAAGGGAAAATGAACATCTGGTCATCTATACACAAATTGAAAAAAAGTTAAGGACAATGTAATCAATGCAATATTGATTTTTCTGCCCTGTGTCAAAATTTAGAAAGGGAGCTACAGGCCAGAGTGAACAATGAGACGTCTTTGGCTATTTATTTCAGTGAAGCAAAAGTCAAATGACAGAGAGCAACTGTCAAAAACTTATTATGTTGGATGATTTTTAAAAAGTATTACCTTCATTAACTAATTTTTCAGAATTTATAAAAATATAATCATGTCATATAGTCCAGGAATATCTTTGTAACTTCTTTTTTAACCTTGATGAGAAAAAAGGGATAAACAGGCAGACCATGAAAACATCAGGCTTTTTAAAGATACTATTTCAGGTCATGGCTAGGGTTAATATTCCTTCAGTCTTGTGTCCTAAACTTCTGCATCTCCCCCTACAATCATATCTAAGAGAGATTAAGATAAATAGATTCAGGCCCAGTGGTGGCTCATGCCTGTAATCCTAGCACTCTGGGAGGCCGAGGCAGGTGGATTGCTCAAGGTCAGGAGTTCAAAACCAGCCTGAGCAAGAGCAAGACTCCATCTCTACTATAAATAGAAAGAAATTAATGGCTAACTAAATATATATATATACATACAAAAATTAGCTGGGCATGGTGGTGCATGTTTGTAGTCCCAGTTACTAGGGAGGCTGAGGCAGTAGGATCGCTTAAGCCCAGGAGTTTGAGGTTGCGTGAGCTAAGCTGAAATCACGGCACTCTAGCCTGGGCAACAGAAGTGAGACTATCTCCAAAAAAAAAAAGATAAATAGATTCAAATATAGGTCTTCTCCCTTCCCTCTCTATTTCTGTTTTCTCTTTCAATAACACTTCATCTTTAAAATTCAAACACATTCTCAGATATTTATATATACTTAAATGATATAATTAAGGCATACAATGGTGGCTCATGCTGTATATAAACATTTATATATTACTAAAATACTACACAAATCAAGTGTTTGGTTCAGAAATCTATTGATTGTATTTTATTTTCCCCCCTCTTCCTTTTGAGTCTTTTAAAAATAATTTCAAGGATAATTTTAGTTATTTCAAGGATAAGTTTAGTTGAAGGAAGACAAAAGATATTCACAAGATAATTTTAAAAAGAAACATTTCAGGTCAAAATGCAAAAGAAACACAAGTTCACAATTATAAACACACGGGCAGCGCATCATCTATAAATATATCTTCTATTATTCCATTATCCTCTATAATTTAATGACTACCATTAGTAAAAAACAATTCTTCTGTTCTTAAGATGGCAGCATGTCAAAAGTATAACCAAGTCCCCATTTTGTAATATATATATACTTCATACCCAAAAAGTCAATTATTTGATTAAATATTTTAACATATGTTAGGGGTTTCTATAGCAACTCTCCTTCAGATTTTGTTTGTACTTCAGGAAAAACCAACTACTTAGAGTTTCTTGAACACACAATTAGTTTACTTGTTCATATTGTTATCTATGCTGTTCCCTTTGCCTACAATGCCCTCCATCTCTTCCACTCAAAATTTCCATTCACTCCTCAAAATCCTGCTCAGGTGCTAGCATCTCTATGAATCATTCTCTGAACTGCCCCTGAAGTTAATCATTCCTTCCTCTGTAATATTTCTGTATTTTAGTTACTTCTATTATTGAATTGACTCCAATAAATTATCTCTTTATTGTTGCACCTAGCCCCTATAATCTTGATGTTCCTGAAAGACATGGCCTTCTTCTTTCTATCCCTAATAACCACCACGGAACCTGGTAATAGAAGATAAATTTATTGAACTTAAGTGTTTTTGTCATGTTTACATTCCCAAAGTACACAGCTATCTAAGCATTGAAAAATGTGCTCTAGAAATAAAAAAGGAAAAATACCAAATGCACTATAGCTAATCCCTACTCCCATAATACAAATGTGGATTAATGATTATTAGTGGTTCAAATTGTTTCATCAGGGTAAGTCCATTCTACCAACTAATCATCACAACTAACTGTGTCTAGGAAGCATATTTGTGTAGAAAGCTTATTTGGTTTTGAAGCATTGATTTAAAAGAATTGGGATACATCAGGTACTAAAGTAAACTGCTTCTAAAAATGAACAGCCTAAACTACAAGAAGAAGAATTTCTAAAAGGCTGGTACTCTTGGGCTCTACGAAGGCTCAGAGGACCACTGCCATTATGACTTCATTCCTCTAGACTATGATATCACTAGCGTCAGGAAAGATGATAGCAGCAGCCATCTCTCAGCCCAGGGGACCACAATTAGGGCACTTCTAAACTGACACATACACACAAAATCCTTAATCAAGAACAACCAAATATACCCCTTTCTGTAAGATGACAGTCATCTTCTATTAACACAATCAACCAGGTGGTCTGATCAGAAAAGAAATTAAGGGCTGGGCATGGTGGCTTACGCCTCTCATCATAGCACTATGGGAGGCTGAGGTGGGAGCATCGCTTGAGGTCAGGAGTTCAAGAGCAGCCTCAGCAAAAGCGAGACCCTCTCTCTTCTAAAAATAAAAAAATAAAAAAAGTTAGCTGGACAACTAAAAATAGAAAAAATTAGCTGGGCGTGGTGGTGCACACCTGTAGTCCCAGCTACTCAGGAGGCTGAGGCAGGAGATCACTTCGGCCCAGGAGTTTGAGGTTGCTGTGAACTGGGCTGATGCCATGGCACTCTAGACCCAGCAACAGAGTGAGACTCAAAAAGAAAAAAAAAGGAAAGAAAGAAAGAAAAGAAATTAATATGATATAGATGTCAATTAGTGTGGCCTTGCAGAAATAAAAAAATAAATTGAGCATAAAATGAAATAGCACTGAGTATCACTGATTTAACAACTGATGAAATAAAAAAGTGTATTACTTTACATCTGTTCTTCAAATAACATAACTATACAGTATTTGGTTTTAAGAAACCAAAGTATTTCACTTTGGTTTCTTAAAAATTAAGATTCATAATCAGCAAGTGCCAAGTGCATACTAAAACTCTGCTCACAACACACTTATTGCTAACAATGTAAACTTAATCGGTATGCCTCAAATTCCATTTTTTCCTCATAGTTAAGTACTGCCTCCCCTCTCCAATCTGCAGCTACTAATTTCTGTAGGCTGAGAACTCTAAGCAAAAAGTACAAGTACTGAGAACCTAAGGGATTTTCCCATGAATAAAACACATGTATTTCCATTTGCCCACAATGTTCTTTTAGTCAACTTTAAGTTCTTACTTTTCCTCCACAGAGTTGAAGCCACTGGACTGGTATCTTACAGATAAGTTTATTTTATCCATTTATGACAATTAAAATTATCTTTCATTAATGAGGATTTGACTACTACCAACTATAATGTTATAAGCTTGTTGAGAAAAAAAATCTAGATTTCTATAAAGATTTTTAATGTTTTAACTTGCCAAAAAGTTTCTCAAGTATCTTTATAGCTACAAGTCAAATTTATTAAACTGATGATTCCAGTTACAATCACAAGCATGTTCACCACATAAACAGACAACGCTAAACGGTGAAGAAAACATGTCACTGACTTTTCAGTATAAGAAGGGCATTCTTTCATTAGAGCCGATCATGAAAGCATTAGCACCTACTCTGAAAAATCTGGCTAAGGTAAAGAATGGGAAAAGGAAGATGGAGAGAAAAGACTATCAGACAAATTTAAAAAAACTAATTTTGTCATCACTATTCAATATTTATTAGGCACCCTAATGCTAGAGATCTGACAAAAATTCTGAAAGGCGGTTCCAAACAACAGGAAAAAAAAATATAACAAAATCCTGTTCGTTTACTTTTCAATAGCTGGCGGGGAGGAGGAGGAGGAGCACTATATTCAAAAAGTAATTCACCATACCTCATTCATGAATGAAAACCAAATTTCACCCATAGGCTGTTAACCGATGCTCCAAAACTTACTCGCGAAGTACACAGAGAAAGAAATAAGGCTGGGCAAGACCTAACTCTGGCAGAGAAGCGGCTTCAAAACCTGAAAGGGAGAGAAAACAACAAGTCAGGTCGTCGCTCCAGAAATTTCCGAGCGCCCGGCTCGTCAGGAGGGAGCGCGGATGCCAGCGGCGGGAGGGGACAGTGGCACCTGTCACTCGAGCGGTCCCCGGGGGTCTGGGGGCTCCGCCACAGCCCGAACGCCCGGCCCTGAGGTCGAGTGCGGGTCTCCCCTCGCCGCGCCGGAGCCCAGCGCCGAGCGTCGGGCCGCGGCCCGTCCCTGGGAGCGGCCCTCCCGCACGCTCTGCCCGGCGCTCCGGTCAGCGGGCCCGGTCGCCTCAGGCCGAGTGGCCACCATCCGAGCCAGGGGCGAAGGGGGAAGCGCTGTCGAGCCGCCGCAACCACCACAGGGGCGCCGGAGGGGACCCCACGAGGCGGGCCCGCCTCCGCGTACTCACCGGGCCTCCCCGGCCGCCGGCTCGGCCCTCCTCTCCCGCCTCCCCCGCCGCCGCCGCCGCCTCTCCCGCGGCTCCTGGGGCGGCCGCACTGGGCGTTGGGACTGGACTGGGTCAAGTGCCGGGAGGGGCGGGGTCGGGCTCGCGCCCCGCGGGGGTCGCGCGTTGACCCGCGGGCCGGGCACTAACGGGTCCCGGGGCGCCGGGCCGGCTGGGCGGACCGCGGCGGTGAGCGCGGCTGCAGGCTGCGGTGAGGGGCGGGGAGAGCGCGGCTGCGAGCGAGCGAGCGAGCGAGCGGGCGGGCGGAGGTGGGAGGGAAGCCCGGCGGAGGGGGCGGCGTGAGAGCCGCGGGGCGGGGGCGGGGCCTGCCGCACCAGCCGCCGCGCGGGGGGTTTGTTTATTTTCTCGGTTGGTCGCGGCGCTGGCGCGGAGTAGAGGTTCACCGGTGACGTGAGCGCCCGGAGTTGGGGGAAAGCACCAGAACCACCTGCTGGAGAAGGGGAGCTACGGGGGCCGGGCAGGGTCCAAACGTCTCACGTAGGCGGCGGCGCCGCGGTCTGCGGGGTCACACAGAAGGGCTCTCCCGGAGCGGTGCAAGACGGGAGGCCTCCCGAGAGAATAGGAGTCCAGGCCACTGCCCCGCAGCTGGGCGGAATCACCTGCGGCGTGGAGAGCTGTTAGAGGGCCCTGGGTGCAAAAAGGCGGTGGGACCTGGTAGCCTTGGTTCCCAGCAACACAGGGCTCACCTCCAGGCAAGCGAATGAAGTAGGGGGGGTCCTGCAAGTCAATGGCCCAGCAGCATTGGCATCATGAAGTTTGTTAAAAAATCAGTATCTCAGATCCTACCCCAGACCTGCTGAACCAGCATCTTGAATTTAACAAGAACTCCAAGATATTTGTACCACAGCAAAGTTGTGAGAAGCGCTAATCTAGATGAGAGAAGCTAGCAAAGAAAGGGGGAAGATAAAGTGGAAGGAGAGCCAGGGTAGTGGAATCATCAAAGCAAGGTAAATTGGAGTTTCACAAACAGGGAAGGAAGGAGTGTTGATCGATAATATCCCAAATCATGGAGGTTGAAAAGCACAAGGAGAGATAGTACGTTTGCAGTTTGTGATTAGGTCGTATGGTCATTATGACCACGTTCTAATTGAACAGAAACTTCTACTTTCTGGTCAGGGAGAGCCTAGTGACCCCATCCCCCCAGTTCCCACATATATGGGACATATTGGAATAAGTGGGTAGATTTCACAGTGGGAGAAAGTAGAAATTCTCTTCTAGTTGCTTCTGTTTTCTCAGTGAAATAAGGAGATCATTTTGGCACACTGCTAATTGTCCATCTCAATTTAGTCTCCTCTTCTCCCTGAACACACAGACTACTTTTCTCTCTTCAAGTTAGATATGGTCAAATATTAAGTTATTGACAATAAATGTGAGTGGAAATAGTCTGCCACTGCCAGGCCAGGGCTTTTGAGTGTACTCATGCCACCACCATGCATTTTCCTTTTTGCCAGTTGCACCCTGGACATGGTGAATCTGTTTTGATTATGCAGATGCTGACTTCAAGCCTCTAAGGTTGACAGAGATACAAGAAAGAACGTGCCTGGATGAAAGAGAGCTGCCTATCTACAGCCATACCACCCTGAACGCACCTGATCTCATCCGTCTGATCTTGAGAGCTAGCTATCCACTGACCTGGAACATCCAATGATGTGAGCAAGATATGAATTTCTGTTGAGTTGGAGCCATAACATTTTGGAGTCTATTTGTTGTAGCAGTGTAGCCTACTCTAGTTAACATATTCATTAACTGAAAGTAGAGAAGAGGAGGGAAGAAGGGGGGTGAAATAGGAATCTATAAGTCTATGAGGGATAGTGAAGTTTCCAGACACAACTAAGGGCCCCCCCTTTGAATAAGTGGTCATGAATTTATACTGAGACCAGTCAATAGGTTGTGCAGTTTTCTCTAGCCACATTCAGTTGTTCATATGTAGGCACTGAGTAGCTGGCTTTGGCAGTCACCAGGACTGAGATTTGGTTAGGTAAACATAATGGGGAGAGAAGGGTAAAGTAGTTGAGGGTAGAAGCAAAGGAGGCATTATAACTTCAGACATTGTTAAGAAGTATGAAAGGAATGGTGAAAAGAGGGTAGGGTGACTAAATTGGTGTTTCTGATCAGGTTGAAGAATTGAAGTTTATTATATGGAATGATATGAAAAGATAAGAGACAGGTTGGACAGTGGGAAGTTTGAAATTAAAATTAGAGGGGTATGATCAATAATATCCAAAAGCTGTAGTTATTGGTAAATATCAGCGTGTAGGGAATGATCATGAGAATGGATAACTGAGGTAGCAGTGAATACCAGATCCTTTGAAGAAAGTAGATCAAGGAATTGAGAGGCAGTAAGGGTTTTGAAAGGAACATCACACAGTTATATCTATTACACAAGCACACACACACGCACACACACACACTCCATAAAGAACTGCCACAGGAGTGACTCATAATAGTCACACACACACACACACACTCCATAAAGAACTGCCACAGGAGTGACTCATAATAGTGTTGGAGTAGTGAGTAGTCTCAGAGAGAGTGATAGTAACCCTGGTACTAAAATATTTAAACAATGAGGGTTGAATTCTTTGAATTAGGGTGCTCAAGGCCATCAGTGGTTTAATATGTTAAATTCTTGCCAATATCATATTTCATTCAAACAGGCACTTTTTTTTTATGTTGCTAAAGTGGGGTTTCTAATTGCTTCTCTGTGACCTCTCAAATTATGATGGCAACTGCTTTCTTTTACAGGAAATGCCCATCTGTCTGTATTATATACCCAATACATGCCAAGCTTCCCAGTTTAGATGACTATGCTTTAAAATTTGGCATAGACTATTCTGTTTTACCTCCAACATGTATCTCAAATAGATATGTCTACAGTGATGCTAGCTTTGCCACATCAAATAATACACAGTAAATGTTAAAAATCTACATTAAAAACCTCACTTATAGCTTAACAATAAATAGGGGTTGACTACAGACCTGACAAATTGAAAATAACAAGATTACTTGTAGCTTGGAAAATGAAGTACATGTTATATATTAATAGCATAGGGGCTCTGGAGTCAAGACTGCCAGGGGTTGAATTAAGAGGTTATTGCAAAGATACGTCATATATACTCAGCCTGGGCAACATAGCGAGACCCCATCTCTACAAAGAAATTTTAAAAATTAGCTGGGTGTGGTAGCACACAGCTGTAGTCCTAGCTACTTTGGAGGCTGAGGCAAGAGGATCAATTGAACCCAGGAGTTTAAGGCTGCAGTGAGCTGTGATGACACCACTGCACTCCAGCCTAGGTGACAGAGTGAGACCCTGTCTCTTAAAAAAAAATAAGATATGTCATATATATATATGTATGTGTGTGTGTATGTGTATACATACACATACACAGAAGCATTTTAAAATATAAGCATTCAATTAAAGTTAGGTATAATTATTCAATTACTGTACTTACATCTAATTCTTACAGAATTGCCTTTAACTATACTTGAACTTTTACTACTTACAAAATGTTATTATATCTGTACATGTTAAGATTTAACAGCAAGGAGACCTCTGGGCAAACCTGGTACATCGAACACACGTTTATCTCCACTTACTCCAGTAAAATGACATTAAAATGACAGTGAAAGAATGAAAAAGATATAAACCTATAAAGACAAAGCAAACAGGAAAAGAGATCCCTGCTGAAGAAGGATGCCAACAAAACTTAGGAATGTGGAAAGCAGATGGGTGAGCAGTAACTGACTTACCAAAGCTGAGAAAGTTAATACCTAAGCTTTTAGGAGGAAGCAGAGCCAGCCAGAAGTGAACCTATTCAAGTCACAGCACCTTGGAGAGGCTTGAAAACTAGAGCTGCCATGCCTCAGAGAGCAGAAGTAAAGTGAGGCTGAAAAGGGGGATTTGTTGTCAAAGTTTTTTTAAAGAGCAGTGAGACCCTTCCTCACCCATATTCCCTACTCCATCCATGCTGCCCAAATTCAGCAGAAGACAGATGGTTTATGTTCTGGAGGGGTTGACTCATAGCTCCTCTAGACACCAGGGAGAGCCGAGGACAGGGATGACTGACTACACAGAAAAGCAGAATTAAGTGAAGTTGTACATACTGAATTATAAGACAGGTCCTCCAACCCAGCCTCATTCTCAAATTCAGATTCTAGAATGCTGGGATCCTATCAGGAGATTAGAAGCTTCCTTTGAGGGGAAAACCAGCTGATCCAAGAGAAAAGGCCTCCAAATGAAGTTTGGGGTCCCACAATGAAGAATGTGGCTTGTTGCTGGTCTCTTACAGTGAAGCCCAACAGTCAACAAGCCGTGACCATACCTACAGAGGCTCTAATCAACTTTTTATCACCTCATTCTTTATTTTTAAAATTTTTGTAGAGACAGGGTATTGCTATGTTTCCCAGGCTGGCCTCGAACTCCTAGGCTCAAGTGATCCTCCTACCTCAGCCTCCCAAGTAGCTGGGACTATAGGAGTGAATCACCACACCCAGCTATCAACTCATTCTTAAATGTGGGTGAATAGTTGAGGATCTCCATGTATTTGAAAAATCTACCTTACATGAAAGACAAAGCCTAAAATGACCAAACAGAAAAAAGAAAAGAACTTGGAGGAAATAAAACCAATGCAGGGAGCAGGAAAAGATGTCAAAATAAAAAAACTCTCAAAAATTTTAACTCCCATACTCTCTTCTCAGGAAACTACTTGAGGGAGATACTCCACCCAAGTAAGAGTGTAAATCAAGATAAAAAACATGGACTCTGGTAAATAGGAGCTCCAACAAAGGAGAAAACAGAGAATTCCCTAGGTGAAGGTGAAGGGAGGTTCCAGGATGACAGCTGGGTAGCCAGACTGGAAAGCAGCCAGTCCATTCTGATGTGAGGATGGCGGGCTCCATAAGGAATGTCTCCAAGAAAAAATAATGGAAATGATGGAAATGGAATCTGATGTGTTTGAACCTTATGAACAAAATTTCACAACTCTAGTGGAACATAGAGAGATGTAATAGTGACAAGTATAGAGAAAAGTAAGCAACCTAAGAAAGAAGGAATTATACTCTCCAGGGAAAAACAAAATATTCATGGCAGACTGTTTGATTGTTTAAGAATATTTGTTGTCCCTCTCTGGAGAAGGATGATACTTCCTCACCCTGTTGATGTCAGACTTGGCATGGTGAATTACCCTGACCAATGAAATCAGATCAGATGTGAATATGTCACTTCTAGGCAGAAGCTTTAAAAACCTACTCATAGTTCCCATGTCTCTGCCCCTGCCACAGATTGGCACTGTTTAGATAGAGGTTGCTCTGGCCATCTGAGTCCAGAGTGAAGACGTCATAGAGCAGGAGTGCAGCAGACCTGCCACTGGACATACATGAATAAGAAGTAAATCTTTATTGTTGTAAGCCAATACAACAAGAAAGGGGTTTGGGGGCTTCTGCAGTCATTTCTTAACATGGCATAATTAACTTCTCCTGATTGATATAACATGAAGTGCTATGGACAATATTTATATAATAATCATTAAAATATATACCATAAATAATTGAACAATGTTCTATAAAAATACTTGGAAATTAATACATGGTATAAAATGGCTAAAAATGAAAACTGAAATGGCAGTAATATGCTACTTAGAAATGTGAAATTAAATAGCAGAGCAGTAACTCCTCTGGGAACTGAGTGATGACAGGTGGTGCAGGGCCTTCTGGTATTATTATGAGTCTTGTATTTATTTGACTCTTAAACCATATACATAATCACTTTGAAAAAATAAAAATTACATTTCTTTGAAAAAGAAAAATGAATGGTGAGAGGGGGGTTTTAGTAGTATTATTTTTAATTCAGCCAATTTAATAGACTTTAATCATACCCCTTTAATGTTAAAATTATAAGAACTAATTCTTGATTAATACTTTAAAAATATATTTTTCAAGAAGATTGAATTGAAAAACAGCTAAATTTTTTCATTCTACCTTCACACTGTCCACTGCACAACAGAAATATGAATGTTGCTTTCCTAGTATTTTTTGACTCAGCTACCTCCTTCCCTTTCCCTTACATGTGATGTTATTTATAGTGTACTATTTATATGACATTAAATATCACTAACTTGAATTTGAAAAATGACCTATATGAATATGTAATTATTTTATGAAGTTATTTTATACTTGCAAAAATAATTGTTTTTAAAAATAGTCTCAGACATTAGACCCTACAGTATTTTCCTTAGGAGGCTGGCAGTGATTAAAATGGATTTGTTATGTATAGATAAGATACATAGCTATCACCTATAATTTGTAAATAATTAATTGTACTTAATGGGGTTTTAACTCTTTTCTGGTATTTTTTACATCATTTACTATCTCTGAAGGAAAAGGATTCGGGGAAGCAAAAGTAAACCAGTCTAATTGCTATGTAAATTGTAAGGAATAAAGGCAACAGTCTCTCCATAGCCTTCGGATTTGTTAGTGTGGCGTGATCTGAGCCTGGCCCACCCTCCTGTGCTCATCTCCAGCATCCTTTATATCCAGCGCTAATCCATTCAGTCATTCAGCAGACACTTATTCCAAGCCTCCAATGTACTAGGCCTGTTATTACTAAACTGCTTGCAGATCCCTGAGTATATGATGTCATCTCATACTTCTT